CATCAAGTGCTTTGATTCTTCATATTCCTGGTAACAACTCTTACTATTATCATTAATTAGTGTTTATTTTTAATTTTTGTTATCTCCCAGTAGTGTAGCTTCTTTGTTCTTCCGTTTTTTTTCTTGAATTCAATGATTAGGTTAGTTTATATGTTGCTTTTGGATGCTGGGTATGAATTCCATGTTGGGTAATTGAGTAGGGACAACTAGGACTCAAGAACTTGAACAAAAATGGACAAATTTGTCAAACCCTAACTCAGTTCCTACCTTTGCCTCAGCGCGGCCCGCGGTCATTTTCTCGCGGTCTGCATGGCCATGATGCAGCCGCACTACTGATGGTGCGGTCCGTGGTGGCCCATTGCTTGTAAAGTTAACTTGCTCCAGCGCGGCCGCGTCCCTAATTGTGCGGTCCGCGCTGGCTCAACGCGGCCGCGCCCCCATTTTACGCGGTCCGCATTTGTGAGATTCAGAGAGGTGTGTTCTTCTGGTGTTGGTTCAGTGCGGCCCGCGGTCATTTTCACGCGGCCCGCGGTGCCTCCCACGCGGCCGCACGCGGCCGCACCCCTGATGGTGCGGTCCGCGGTGACCTGTTCTGAAAGGTGTTCTGCAATTTCTCCTGCTAATATTATGCAATTGTTTTCATCAACTTATACACTGCCTGTTCTTCAACTAACAAAGTTAGACATGTTTGCTTGCAGAAAATGGTAAAACTAAGAGGTCGAAGTGCAAAACAACCCGGACGAGGTGACTCCTCCCGGGGAGGAAAAGGGAAACAAACAAAACTCACTCCCCGACCAAAACTGAAAACAAGAAAGCAAGTAGTAGTGAGTGATGACGACCAGTCAGGGAGTGAGTACCTACCTTCTCAGGACATCTCAGCTGACTCAGGGCAAGCCCCCTCAGTCCCAGCTCCACCTACAGCCCAAGCTCCACTAAATGTACAGTCTAAGTCGTCTGATGGCTCAGCAGCAGGCAGCGTCGAATACTCCACCTCCCCCATAGCTTCAGTATCTGGGGAGAGTGCAGCAGGGGGGACTAACAGTGATGATGAGGTTCCGGACAGTGGGGTGCCCGAGATCGTGGTATTGAACGAACAAGAAAAGCTGAGGTTTGGGCAGACCGCTTTGTTAGCCAAGTGGCCTTCCACAAATTCAGGGAATTGTGGCCAAAAAGAAAACTGATTGCAGAGAGGAGCATAATCACCCGAGACTTATTGCCCATACTCCCCAATGCACACAAACAATTTCATACCAGAGTAGGGTGGGAGCATTTTTGTGATGACTTGATAGATGCCAACGAGCACATGGTAAAGGAGTTTTATTGCAATGTAGCCCACACTAAAAAGGGCTCAATTGCGACCAAAGTGCGAGACAAGAATATAGTGTTTTCTGGGAAGGCGTTCAATGAATATTTGGGTTTTGAGGATGAAGACGAAACCCAATACAATAAGAAGTTGGAAATGAAGGAGGAGGTTCGTCCATGGTTGGCTGAGTATTTGGCTCATCCGGGTACTGTTCCGGATTGGATACAGGCGGGGGTGAAGATTTTGAGGAAGAATTTGAACTTCGAAGCTAGAGGGTAGCTTACATTTGTGTGCAACAGGCTCGACCCCACTTCCCATGGCCAGACTATCCCACTTCCCCGTGCTGTGTTGATTGCCTCTATTATGGCGGGCTTCCCTATCAATGTGGGGAATGTGATGTACAGGACGATCACTTCGATGGGGGTTGACGGTATTGGGAACTATCCATATCCCAACACTCTCAGCATGTATTTCCGGGATGCAAAGGTAAAGAAGAAGCCCTACGATGTGAAAGTTCGCCCAGTGTCCCCGTTCTCATGGTTCAACATTCAGGGGCCGGACAACCCAAAGGACAAGAAACACAAGGCATCCACCTCTGCCCCGATTGGCCAGTCTGAGGAGCCTGTTGCGGTAGAGTATGCTGTTGAGCCTTCTACTGAGCTTCCCTCCATTCCAGCTGTCACCATTACTAATGATGTGCCCTCCTCTTCTGCGGGTCCTAGTTCTTCAGCTGGCCCGACAGTCCCTTCTTCTCGGACCAACCCTTTCATAGCCCATCAGTTGGCAAAGACTTTGACCAGTTTAAACAACTGGATGTCAACTGCGACATCCAAGTTGTCCACATTGGCTACTTCAGTTGAGGCCCAGTCAGCACCAGCCACTGTTCAGATTCCTCAGTCTATTGAGGATACATTGAAGAAGCTCCTGGCCAACCAGGAGAAGATTATGAAGACTCAGGGTGCCTTGACTAAGGCGGTAGATTCACATGGCAAAGCTCTGAAGGAGCTTGCCAAGGAGCACAAAAAGATGAGAAATTCAAGGGCGTCTAAGGAGTCAGCGAAGGTGCTTAGAGCGGACGTGGACAAGCAATTGGCAGATCAGTTGCCATTAGACTTGCTATTTGAGGATTCAGCTCCTCCAGCAGTAGCACCAGAGCCACAGCAGGAGCAGGCACCCAGGCCTCCAAGGAAGAAGAGGAAGCTTCCCAGTACAGAGGGTGTAGTGATTGAGCTTGCAGAGACTCAGGCGATTCCCTCCAGTGATGCACCCGATATTCAGCTGGTCTAGGAGTAGGCCACTGTCCCAGCAGCAGAGCAGCAGCGGGCTGGGAACCAGTCTGAGGTTCCCGCCCATACAGAGGATCAGGGGACCACTGAGGATCCCACGTAGACGGACCAGGCCTAGGGAGCTCTTCTATATCCTTTCATTGATCTTTTCTGCTTATTTGTGTAGTTGGCATTGGGGACAATGCCAGCTCTTATTCGTGGGGGTGCGCCCTACATTTTTTTGGATTATCTGGATGACTGTACATATTAGATTCTCATTTTATGTTCTGTTGATTTGATTTTCTATTTGGTCTGTATATAACTTTACATTGCAGCTACTTTTCTTGTACTTTTTGCTACTTTTCTCGTACTTTTTATTCTCTTTTGGTCTGTATATAAAGTTACATTCGGTATATTTGCATCTCTTATTGTATATTCTACTCCCCGATTGTATATATTCATTCTCTTTTTCTATTTTCGCAAAATTTTTTGTTTTTTTAGCTTCATAGATAGGCTCGTAGCCTTTTGTTTTGTTTTTGGCGTTTTCAATAAGCCCTTGGTTTTCTTAATGCCACGGTTCTTTCCAAGGGTGGAGTATAGTGCGAACCGGGTGGCTCTTCCCAATGATAGATGGCGTGACAACCTTCTTAAGGGTTTGGGTCCGTTTTTGATATTTCTTTTTTTTTCCCGATAAAACTAGCATTTCATTTCAGAAAAAACTGTCTTTACAAAACCAGATTGGTGCTGACCGTCAATCTCCTAATTCTAATACTATTACAGGGATTTTACTAAAGAATAGTAAGTAAAAATAAACAAGCTATGCCTAAGGATAACTATTTACATTTTGTAAAGCTTGTTGCCATTTGATCTTTCATCTCCCCTGTATGTGCATATGTAGAGCTATCTCCTTGCATGTCTCATCCACCATGTAACGACCCTTTTGAAATCTGATGGAGTTTCTTTCTCGCCAAATACAGTATACTACCATAGCAAATGCTGCTGTAGTGATTTCTGCTTTTTCATTCTTCCCTTTGGCTATACTGCTGATCCATGCTATCTCATCCTGCCAACTTCCAATTATTCTTGTAGTTCCCAGCCATTTCAGTATTCTATCCCATAATAATCTAGTGTGTGGGCATTCAAAGTACAAATGATCCAATGTTTCCATAGTACCTGCACAGAATACACAATCAGGTGGTACATGAATCCCAAACTTGAGAAGTCTGTCCACAGTTGCTATTCTCTGATGAATGGCCAGCCATAAGTGAAATTTGAATCGTGGATGAATCTGTGTGTGTAGATGAATGCTTTTCCAGCTAACTTTGGGAAGCTGAGGCATTAACTGGACATAGGCCTTTTGAATTTGGAACCTACCCTGTTTCACCAAGTCTGCCAAAGTTGATATGACACTCCCATGCATTGAGTTCATCTGTATCACTTCTTTCTTTGCCTCTATGATTTTCCTAATCACCCAAGCTGCTGTCCTAGGTGTGTCCATTTCTGCAATGTCTTTGTTCTTGATATAGTAGTTGTGTGTCCATTTAATCCATAAGGCATCCTTCTTCATTGCCAAAGCCCACAGTTGTTTGATAATTGCAGCTTTGTTCCATACCCTCATATTGATTATGTTCAGCCCTCCTGCAATTTTTGGTTGACAAATCTTGTCCCAAGCTATCAATGCTTTTCTTGAAATGGCATTTGATCCAGTCCAAAGAAAAGTTCTGCAAATAGTCTCAATCATCTTCATAATCTTCTTAGGCAATAAGAAAATTTGTGCCCAATATGTTTGAATGCCAAATAGTACAGATTTGATAAGCTGCAATCTTCCAGAGTAGGATAGCATCCTGGCAGACCAGCAGTTAACTCTTTCAGTGATCTTCTCCACCAGTGGCAGACATTGGTGTATATTCAACTTCTTAGCAGACAGTGGCACCCCCAGGTATTTAAATGGAATAGACCCTTCATTGAATCTTGTACTCTCAAGTAGCAGCTCCTTGATATGCTGTGGAACACCGCTATATACATTGAGCTTTTGTCTGTATTTGCCTGCAATCCAGATGCAGCAAAAAACCTGTAGAATGCTTCCTGCATTATTTTTACTGAATTTATATCTGCCCTACAGACATGAGCAAAATCATCAGCAAAGCAAATATGTGTCACCCCCAGTTTTTTGCATCTTGGGTGATATTTAAACTGCTTTAAGGTGGCTAGTTGGTTCATCTCCCTCTGCAAGTATTCCATTGCTATGACAAATAGGTAAGGTGACATTGGATCACCTTGCATGATTCCTCTCTGGGCTTTGAATGGCTTTGTAGGCCACCATTAAGCATTAAAGAGTAGGACACAGTTGACACACACTCCATTACCCAGTGGATGAATTTCTGTGGAAATCCCAACTCAGTGAGCATGTATCTAAGAAAATGCCAGTCCAATGAGTCATAAGCCTTTCTTAAATCCACCTTAAGGACACACCTAGGGGATAGACCTTTCCTGGTATAGCCTTTGAAAAGTTCATGGCTAAACAAGATGTTACCTATAATGCTCCTTCCTTCTATAAAGGCAGACTGTGACTTGCCAATGATCACCTCAATAACTTTTTTAAGTCTTTTTGTCAGGATCTTTGCAATAATTTTGTACAAGGTAGTGCAACAAGCAATAGGCCTGTAGTCTTTAACTGTTGTTGGTGCTGGGACTTTAGGAATCAGAGTGATAGCTGTACAATTCCATGCTGGTTTCATTTTACCATTTTGGAAGAAAAAGGATACAACTTCATATATGTCTTGCCTCACTATCATCCAATGCTTTGTAAAGAACTCTATAGGGTAGCTATCAACCCCAGGAGCTTTGTCATTTGGCATATCTCTCACAGCTTCATCCACTTCCTCATGTGTGATCTCCTTTATCAGTTCCTGCTGTTGCTGTAAGTTCAAGCATTCTCCTGCTTTAATATAACTTGTATTTAGGCATGGTTTTAGCCCCGTATCCTTCCCCATTAGTTGAGTGAAGAAGTTTGTGAATTCTTGTTCCACAGCAGTTGGATCAGTAGCCTTCATTCCTGACTCATTATACACAGCAGTTATATTATTCTTGCTTGCTCTAATCTTCAACTGTGCAAAGAAGTAGTTCGAATTTGAGTCACCATAGTCAATCCATGTCACTCTTGACTTCTGCCTCAATATTCTCTCCTCTATTAAACTCCATTTCTCCAATTCATGCATGGCATGCTTTTCCTGTTCTATCAGCAATTGGTTGAAAGGATCATGCACCATATTAGCTTGAGTGCATCTAGTTGCTGCCTTATTTGTGCTAATCTTTGCTCATAATTTGCCATCTCCTTATTCAGACCTTTAGCTTCATTTTTCAGCTTATGTAACTTTTGCCAGATACTTGTCATAGGATCCATCTCATTCTGCTGCTTCCATATTCTGTCCACCATTGGCCTGAATTCCTTATGATCCATTGTGACCATGTAAAGTTTGAATGGCTTGGGGTGGATGGTTTTTCTTTCCCAGATTTGAACTAAGATATGAGAATGATCAGACACTCCTGGCTCCAAGCAATCTGCTTCCACATGTCCATAGTCCTTCATCCATTTGAAATTTCCAAAAGCCCAGTCAATCTTACTATATACTCTAGCATGTGCATCCTGTTTGTTACACCATGTAAAAAAACATCCCTTTGTTCTCAATGGGGTCAGCTGTATGTTGCTAATACATTGGTTAAACTCCTTTATCTCACTAGCAGTCACTGGCTGTCATAACCTATCATTTGTGGTTAGAACATTATTAAAATCTCCACTTATGAGCCAGGGAATTTGAACTTTCCCCCTACCTGTTGCGGGTCATGCCATAGTACTGCCCTCTCCTGTGCCTTATTTCTAGCATAGACCATTGTCACCATTATCTGACTACTATTAATTGGGACATCCACTAAGCATTGGATAAATTGCTCATGGATATGAATTATGTTAACAGTCAAAGATTTTCTCCATAGTACCCATATTCTTCCATTTTCAGCCTTAGAATAATTGCAGCAGTAACTCCAATCCTTTGCTACCTTTTGCAGTATATTTTTTGCCTTCTTTTCTTTAACTCTAGTCTCTAGACATCCAAGGATGTTTATTNTCAACCCTAGTGTGGGTAATTTATGGGTGTTGCCATCTAAGGATAGATTGATATTGGGTGTTTGCTATTTGGGTTAATTGTAGGTTTTAATTAAGGATTGGTGGACACTGGTTCTAGCTTGGTGGGTTTAACTCTTCTTGAGAAAGAGAGTCTATGACCCCAAAATTGACCCAACAAGGAATTTGGATGGACCTATGAGAAATTGTAGTCCCAATTAACGGGTTAAACCTCGAGAGAGTAATTACCCTACTTGAACCCTAGTTGCTTGGTCTAATTGGCCTACCCAATTGGTCTCTCGAGAGTCAATTGGGCAAAATCACTCTCTCTACCGAGAGGTGTGAGAGTGGGTACAATTGAGCAACGGTTATAGCATAAGCCCCAAATATGTCAATTTACCCTTAGTAGCATCTACCGGTTAGTAGCCACCTAGGCAATGCCACGACCCTAGTGCCTTTCTCTATATTAATTACAACTTAGCAATATCTCCGTAGCATAATTTAGCTTCAAACATTATTCTTATAATAGTAGATATAAAAATCAAAACCAAAGATTATAGAAGTGACATTAGAAGCACAACTGCAATTCTAGACTAAACAGACAATACAACTCCATTACTAGCTCCCTGTGGAAATTCGATCCCGAACCACTATTCGGGTAGAAGTTGTTGCAACCCGCTCTTCCTACCTTAGTGTAGTGTTGAGTCGGCAGCGATCAACCACAGATGTGGAACTGCAAATGCGGCCCCAGCCCAGATATTCTGCACCTGCGATTGTTTTTCCGCAGGTGCCGAACCGCAGATGCGGTGGACCCCTCACAGAAGCGGGATCTCTGGTAGAAAAAGGGCTAAGTCGAGGGTTGTATCCCATTTTAAATTTTGGGAGTTTTGGAGCTCGGGAGAAGGCGATTTTGTGAGGATTTTGAAGAGGAAATCAGTGGGTAAAGATTCCTAACCCTATTTCATTTATATTTCATCAATCTATAGTAATTTCCTCCATCTAATCAAGGAATTTGAGTGGAAAAAATGGAAATTTGGGGTAAAAGTTCCCCAATAGAATATTTGGGTTTTGATCGGGTTTTAAGCGTCAAAATTGAATAATTTTTGGACGAGTGATCTCGTGAGTGAATGGATGTTCTAAATTGGTAACTTTTACCCGATTCCAAGTCGTGGGCCCGGCGAAGATTTTTGAGCATTTTCCTATTTTCTCACCGTACCTTTAAATTAATTAGCTAAATTCGTTGCTTGTAGCTATATTTACGTTACATAATTGGTTTGATTAGATTTGGCCCATTCGGAGTTGGATACTCATGGCAAGAGCGTGATATCAGATTGATTTTGAGCTTGGTTCGAGGTAAGTGGCTTTCCTAACCTTGTGTGGGGGAACTCCCCTTAGGATTTTGGTAGTGTTGTTATATGAATGTCGTGTACATGAGGTAGCGAGTGCGTACACGTGCTAATTGTTGAAAAACCCTGTTTTCATTAAGTAACTATCTATGTTTTCCTTTAAATTGAGGCAATGCTAGTATATCTAGCCTCCTGTTTAGCATAGGAAAGCATGCTTACGTGTCTTAACTATCTTATCAGCTTAGCTGCCTACCTTGACTCTATGTAGCATGTTTAGGGTAGGAATTACCTGTTTCTTTGATAGGAACTTGAATAGAACTGTAGACTTTCTGGTTGAGACTATTGTGTATATTGATTATGCTGTGTATTTACTTTGTGACTTCGGAACGGTATTCCGGGAGACCCTCATGCACATTTATATTTGGGACTACGCGACGGTATCCCGGGAGATCTCCCTGCACAGTTACGATTTGGACTATGGGTCGGTATCCCAGGAGATTCTCTGTACGTTTACGTTTAGGGCTACGGGACGGTATCGTGGGAGATCCCTTGTTGCTTTCTCTGTGTACTAGTTTATGATTTTTCCTGTGATTTCATTTCATTGACTGTTAGCAATTATCTTCACTGCCATATTTCATATTGTTTTATCTTGTTATGTATATAACCAATAGGGCCCTAACCTGATCTCCTCACTACTCGACCGAGGTTAGGCTTGGCACTTACTGGGTACCGTCGTGGTGTACTCATGCCCTTTCCAGCACATGTTTTTCGTGTGCAGATCCAGGTTCTTCGGCTTGGCCCTATCGTCAGTGAGGCGATGCGATCTTTAGAGACTTCGAGGTATATCTGTCGCGTCCGCAGACCGAGGATTCCCTCTCTATTCTCCCTTCAGTTATAGACTTCCTGTATTTTATTCATTATTAGACTTCTGGAATGAGAAAACATTATGTACTTCTTTAGCTTGTGATTCATGAGATTCCGTGTTTTGGGAGTGCTATGTTCAGTTTGAGAGTGTTATTATTGAATATGCCAAGCGACATTTCAAACTCCTTTATTTCATTTTCCGCAAATTGTTAAGCTTACCCAGTCGTAGAGACTAGGTGCTATCACGACAGTTCACGGAGGGAGAACTTGGCTCATGACAAGTTGGTATCAGAGCTCTAGGTTTGTAGGAGTCATGAATCACAAGTCGATTTACTAGAATCTCGCAGATCGGTACAGAGACGTCTGTACTTATCTTCGAGAGGCGACGTAACTGTTAAGAAAATTCCACTTCATTTGATTCCTTGTCGTGCGAGATTATGGATTTTTAAATTCTAAACCTCTATCTTCTATTCTCTCACAGATGGTGAGTACACGTGCTACCGGAGATGACCATGCACCCATGCCCCCTACTAGAGCCGCCAGTGGCCGAGGTCAGGGTAGAGGCCAAGGACGCACGCAGGGTGCAGCCAGAGCACCCACGCGAGCAGCTACAGAGGAGCCACCGCCAGCTCCAGCCGAAGCCCAGACGCCTGATACACCTACTGCTACTACTACTCCAGCTCTCCAGGAGACCCTTGCACAGATCATGAGCATGTACACCACTCTAGCTTAGGCAGAGTTGATTCCCTTTGCTACAGCCACATCTCAAGCCGGGGAGAAGCACAGACTCACGCCGCCCGCACTCTAGAGCAGCGGGTTCAGGTTGATCAGATCCTAGAGTTATACCGACACCGTCTATAGCCCCAGCTCCGCCCGAGGGTAGGTCAGCAGTCTTAGAGGAGGAGCAGTGGAGGCTTGAGAGGTACAAGAAGTACGACCCTCATACATTCAGTGGTCTAGCTTCAGAGATGCTCAGGGATTTCAGGAGGAGTGCCACAGTATCCTCCGCACTATGGGTATAGTAGAGTCGAGTGGGGTTTTCTTCACTGCCTTCCAGCTTCGAGGGGCAGCCTATCAGTGGTGGTGTACTTTTGAGTTGGACAGCCCGGCTGAGGCAGCTTCCCTTTCATGGACCCAGTTTTCAGATATGTTGTTGAGGGAGTATGTCCCTCAGAGCCTCAGGGATGCATGGCGCACGGAGTTTGAGCATTTGCGCCAGGGTTGTGTGACTGTTTCGGAGTATGTTGTTCATTGCAGTGACTTGGCTAGACATGCACCATCCATGGTTTCCACAGTTCGGGAGAGAGTTTGCCGGTTTATTGAGGGGCTCATTCCCAGCACCAGGTCCAGCATGGCCCGGGAGCTAGAGATGGATATCGTTTATCATCAGGTGGTGAGTATTGCTAGGAGGGTAGAGGGCATGCTTGCTCAGGATAGAGAGGAGAGAGGGGACAAGAGGTCTCGAGAGTCCGACCATTATTCTGGTGCCTGTGCCCCAGCTGCAGTTTGTCATGGTAGGGGTTATATGAGTCGCCCCGTTCATTCAGCTATTCCAGAAGCCAGTGGTATTCCAGCTCCTCCTAGACCTCAAGAGCCTTATTATGCACCTCTTACACGAGATGCTTTTAGTGGTCAGTCTTGTAGACTTGGCCCGAGCCAGTCACAGCCGCCACGTCCTTCTAAAGCTTGTTTCGAGTGTGGCAGCACACGCCATATGGTGAGGGATTGCCCCAGACATAGGTGGGGTGCACCTCCACAGACTTCTTTGCCACAGCGTGCTCCACAGGGTTCCCAGGCTATGATTACATCACAAGTTGCTACCCCACCTGCTCAGCTAGCTAGAGGTGGAGGTCGGGGAAGTAGAGGTCGCTCTAAAGGGGGAGGCCAGGCCAGATACTATGCCCTTCCTGCCCGTACTGAGGCCGTTGCCTCTAATTTTGTCATCACAGGTATTGTTCCAGTCTATCATAGAGATGCATCGGTTCTATTCGATCCAGGCTCCACTTATTCCTATGTGTCCTCTTATGTTGTCCCGCATTTGGGCGTATCTCGGGATTCTTTGAGTTCCCCTGTTTATGTTTCTACTCCTGTGGGAGATTCTCCTATTGTGGACCGCATTTATTGGTCGTGTTTGATTGCTCTTAGTGGTTTTGAGACCAGAGACGATTTATTATTGCTCAGCATGGTAGATTTTAATGTTATCTTGGGCATGGACTGGTTGTCGCCCCATTATACTATGCTTGATTGTCACGCCAAGATCGTGACGCTGGCTATGCCAGGTTTACCGCGATTAGAGTAGAGGGGTACCTTAGATTACACTCCTAGTAGAGTTGTTTCATTTCTTAAAGCTCAGTGAATGGTTGAGAAGGGGTGTGACGCGTATCTAACTTATGTGAGAGACGTCAATATGATACCCCTAGAGTTGATTCAGTCCCAGTAGTGCAGGATTTCTCTAAAGTGTTTCCAGCTGATCTTCCGAGCATGTCGCCCGGCATATATATTAGTTTTGGCATTGATTTGTTGCCGGGCACTCAGCCCATTTCTATTCTTCCTTATCGTATGGCTCCCCC